GAGGAGGAGGAGAAAACCAAAAAGCTATGTCGTTAAGTAGGGTTGGATCTCATCATCCAGAGCTGGGTGGGCACTTGTCTGCCATTGCAAAGCCACAGGTTCCAGCCAGCACTGGGGGAAAATGGTGGGGACAGTGGTCTGTACTTGAGGCACCGTCAGATCACCCCAGGAGCTTACATTGCTATGGGAGACTAAAGGGGTCCCTCTTTACTCTAGTTGGAGACATCATGTGATGCCTATAGGTGGCCAGTCAGTTCTCTCTGCTGTCCACACTTTCCTACATCTTTCTCTTGCATCTGTGTGCCCCCAAGTCTTTGTTCTGGGTCCCCGAGGAAGCTGAATGCAAGGGAGAGGGAAGTGCCTGGAAGTGGGTGGTAGGTGTCTGTAGAGTTTTCCTTTATTCTATTCCAGCCCCGACATCCTCTCTCTAGCCCATTGGGGGTTGCCTCCGGGTCTCTATCCTCATGTCCAGGATGACAGATTGAAAAAAAAAAAAGAAAGAAAAACTCAACACTAATCTCCCTCCCCTGCTTCAAACACTCCAGCCACACTCCATCAGCCTCTGAATACCAACTGAGCTACTCCTGGGCGCACCAGTGGGATCACCACTCAAGACTCTTCCTTCTGTCAGGACAGCACCTGTGATGTGATGGCTGTGGCTGGCTCCCTCTTGACACTAGTTTCCTTGGTGGACAGTTCTGTGTCACCTGAAAATAAGGGGGGGCATCCCCCCAACCTGCTCCCTCCACCCTTCCTCACACAGCAACTTTCTTTTTCCCTGGGTGCCAGCTAGTAGCTGAGATATTTAGCATCTGTCCATCCTGCCAGGCCCGAGTCTCCTCTCCTTCATCAGTGTCTGTGGATCCAGCCGGAGCTGTAAACTGAATGATTCCAACAGCTTTGGGCTCTAGGTTCATGGGAGAGATGGACTAGCCACACTCTTTCAAAGTCCTGCAGCCTCACTGGAGAGAGACAATCGATTGTTCTTGAAAGAGCTCTGGCAGGGCATCACACCTGTATTCCAGGCCTGGACTGTCTCCTCTGTTCATGGGGGGCTTTGACCGAGTCTCTGTGACCCGAGTCTCAGGTAGGCTGCGATGGCCAGTGGTGGCTCCCATCTCCCCCCTGGCTGGTTCTACCTTCTGGAGCTGAGTTCCTGAATGGAGTAGTATTCCAGAATCCCGTCGCTAGGTGATGAGAGGTACGAGGGGTACAAAGGATGCCACCTCAGATCAGAGCACCTGGGTTGAAATCTGATTCCTGACGTGCACTGGCTAGGTGACTTCAGGCTGTATCTAAACTTCTGAGTGTGTTTTCTCATTTGTAAACGGGGACAGTTTTATCCACGACCTTTTCTGGTCATGAAGTGGCATATGATAACCTGCAGTGACATCCTACCAGGCACAGAGGCCCCCAAGAAAATGCCCAACACATAGTAGGTGTTTAATAGTCTGTCATAGTCTGAGGCTTTCTCTTATTACTTAGAAGCAATAAAGTCAAACTTACCCAAAGCTGGAGGAGACCACAGAGATGGTGGTTTATAGTTGTGACTTAGAGCCCTCTCCCTGCAGCCAGGAAAGACACCATGGGAGTCAATTCATCCTCTCTTAGTTTCCCATCCTTCCCCACCCCCTTCAGCCCCGCACTGACAGGCTTCACCAGCCTTTCTTTGCTAGACCAAATGCTGCCACAGCTGTGTACCACCCCCACCCCCCTTCTTGCCTGGCTTTGGATGTCAGTTCCTGAAAATTTCAGGTTGAAGGTTGACATCAAGGTGTAGCCTGGGTGCATTCCACAGGAGGAGACCTTCCTGGACACCTGGCAGGGGATCCAGTCCTGCTCAGTGCTGGGCACAGGGGCTGCCCTGGAGAAGTGGCCTCTGCTGAGCAGGAACTCCTGGAGAGGGCACTGGAGTTTCAACCTTGGTAGCAAGTTCAGACTTCGCTAGATACATCGCTGATACTTCGCTAAATCTTCCTGCTCGATTTGGTTCTCTGAGGTGAAGAGACCCAGCAGGCAGTGCAGTGTGACCTGGACTCTGAGCTTGAGAAGATGGGCCTTGGTCTGGCAGAGGAGGCAAGGCTCACCTGCACTCCTGGCCTCATTTGATGACTTTGTACCCTCACAAGCCGTTCTGGATGGCAGAGGGGCTTGTAATGATGGCTGCTTTCCTAGAAATTGAATTAAAGCGGCCAAGAAGTGACTTTGGCTGGGAACTTGGTGGGCTCTGGGTCTACTTTCCTCGCGTTCTGTGGTGGCCTATGCCATCTGGCTAGGACCTCTCTTTTCTGTTCTTCTTGCCCGGCTACACAGGTGTACTCTTCTGCTCAGGGGCTCCCCCTGGGGTTGGGAGATAAAGCCCGTGTCTGAGGTACTGCGTGGGTCTTGGGGTGATACCCCAAGGCTCCTGCACAGTCGTCAGCTGCCTGGAACATCTCATGACTCTCAGGCATCCCCCTGACCCTCTCCAGCAGCGCCCAGAGGAGGCGCTCTCACCACTTCTGCTGAAGGGCTGCTCTGGAGTTTGGCCTCTAACCAGGCTACTTGGGTGTGGCCTGTCTCCCTTTGTTGCACCCCGTTGTGCCCCAAGTGCCTGGAACTCTGGCTGGCCAAGTGTAGATGTTCCGTAAACGCCCCGAGAAAGGCAGGGAGGATAGAAAGAGGGAGGGAGAGGAGGATCTAGAGTGAGGCTGGGAGTCACTGTGAGGGAAGGAAAGGGGTCTTGGAGGTGTGACTGCGCTCAGGACATCCTGGTTTAGCCCGGCCCGGCCCGGCCCAGAGCTGCGGCGGCTCCAACGCGGCCGGCAGGTGGCGGTGCTTCCTTGGCTGCGTGGCGGTTTTGAGTCCCCTCCTCCCGCGCTCCCTCCCTCCCGGCTCCTTTCTCTGCGCTCCTGCTCGAGCTCCCAGCGCCCTCCCGCTCTCCCGGCCGCTGTGTCGCCCGCACCACCCCGCCGCTGCTTACCGGCAACCATGGCGCACCGGGGAATCCCGAGCGCCCCGAGGCGTCCTGGCCTCACCTTGCCGGCCCCAGGCTCTCATGCTCCGCCGCCGCCACGCTGGCCGCGCTTGTGGCCGCTGCCGCTGCCGCTGCCGCTGCTGCTGGTGGTGTTGGTGGCTGCCTGCGGGGCGGCAGGGAGCTCCCTCGAGTCCGGGCGCCTGGGTCCCAGCGTACAGGTCACCCGGCTGCTGCACGCGGGACCCACGGAGTTCGGCGATATCGAGGATCCGCAGACACGAGGATTCGAGCCCAGCGCCCTGGGTCATGGTCCGGGTCTTGCTTCGGGTCCCAGCGCAGATGGCGCCCCAGCTCCGGGCAAGGAGCGCAGGGCGCGGGCGGCGCCGGTGGCCGGTTCGGCTTCGCGCGCGCAGGTCTCGCTCATCAGCACGTCGTTCGTGCTCAAGGGGGACGCCACGCACAACCAGGCAATGGTGCACTGGACAGGAGAAAACAGCAGCGTAAGTGACCTCCGTGCGCCCCCGGCCCTGCCCGGACACCTCTAGATACTCAGGGAGACCACCATAGCCCCCTACTTCCGGACCACCCGTGGTCACCCCTGCTGGGCATTCTTGGCGACTTGGGGGACGCGAGTCACCTCGGCGGCGCCCCTACTGGCTTCTGGCTATGGGTTACTTTTGGAAGGGTACTCAAATTTGTGAGACTCGGTCTCGCTCATGTGGCGTTCCCGAAGATCTGGGGACCCCAAGTGTCCCTGGCTTCTAGATCTGGGCTACGGGGAAGTCCCTAGAGTCTTCGGGATCGGGACAACATGACTCCAGGTCCTTGAGGGCCACCCAGCTCTGTGCCGCGTGGATGGTGGGTCGCCCACACACTGCACTGCACCCAGCGGCTCCAGTGTGCACCTCTGGAATTGCTGGCTCTGGAGTCCTTACGACCCGATCTATGCTGATCTTGGGGGCCAGGATATCCCTGTCAGTTCCATGCCCTGTTCTAAGACTCTTAATTCTAGGATTGTTCCTCCTCGGTGTCCCACAGCTGTCTTTGGTCTGCCCGGACCTAGGAGTGTTTAACGTTGTTTAACGTTGTGAGGGCTTTAGGTCGGGCTGCCAACTCCCTGCCCTTCTCCCATACCTCTCCCTCTGGCTGGAGAGAGACTTCCAGCATCCTTCACCCTCTAACACACCCAGATCTAGGATCTAGCCCCCCCCCCCCCCGTTCCTGTTTTGGTAGTGTACCTCAGGGGCTTCGTTTTTCCTGGTTAAAGGCCATAGCCTCTCCCGTCCCTTCTGGGTAGTCCCAGGTGTATGCACACCAGGTTTGCAAATTTGTGCTATCCAGGGAAGTGTGTTTTCATGAAGAGGGAGCTAGGAATCCCTTCTCACTGGTCTGCACCACTGTCCACTCACACTTTCCACTTATCCCCCCCCCCCGCCCCCCAGCTGACTTCGCCTCTTTATCTCCCAAGTTTGGGGGAAATACATAGGGCCAGCGTCCCTGCATGTACTGGCGGTGGAGTGGACGGGTCTCCTAATTTGGTTGTCAGGGGCTGCAGACACTTTTACCCCTGTCCCCTCTCCTAGCACTCTTGGTGACTGCCAGGAGGTTTCCATTTGTGCTGGAGAAGTGGCCTTGGCTGGCCCAAAGCCCAGTCCTGCTGGCTCCTCCCCCACTGACTGGCTGCATCCAGGATGCAGGTGCCTTGCCTGGTCCCTAGTTAATGGCATCTCTAGGAAGACTAGCAGCCTTCGGAGGGCAGAGCTAGTGCTGTGGATGCATCTGGCCAGCAGGGGGCAGTCAGGGTGCTGATCAGAGTGTCTTACAGAAGGTGGGTGCTTCTCCTAAGAAGGGTGTGGAGGTCCCTGCTACCCTTCTCCCCTGAACCTTGAGCAAGCCCTCAAGCTCCAGGTGTATCGTTGGTCCCGTTCTTTCGGGACTGGCTAGTACCTGAAGATAAACTGTGTCCCCTGTGCCGTAGGCTAATATTCTTCAGGACTGAGAGGCAGCCAAGAAACCAAGAACTGAAAGGGACAGAAACACATTGAGAGTAAGCTCCGTGCGTTTGGAGTGTTGAGGTTGTGGATCCAGCTAGCTTACTCTTGTCACTCTGCCTCTTAACTTCATGGGAGAAGGGTATGAGAGAGGAGAGTGAGACACTGTGTGTGGGAGAAGGAGTCACAGGAAAGGGGGCCAGCTGTTTCTAGGATGGGTTGGTGTCCCCTGAACCCCATCTAGGTTCAGAGCCTGGCCCCTGAGTGGCCTCTTTGGAGAGTTGAGGATGGGGAGTGACTGGCCAAAGAATTGGAAAGGAGCCTTGAGGGACCCTCTTCTGGAGCCATGGTGACATGAGGGCAGGTGTAAAATGTGGACAGTAGGGCACAGCCTGGCGCGTAGCCCACACTTAGCTGAATGTGTGTGGGACAGCATGGACATGGTGCCCGGGCATCTGACTCAAGCCTTCTCCCCCCTCCCCACTCATTACACTCAGCCCTGGGTCATAAAGGAAGATGGGATGGGATTCTTTCCCGAAAACCCGGCCACTGGTGGCTGGGGATGCTCTCAGAGGCTCCCCTTGCCCGAGAAGACCCAGGAATGGAGAAAGAAGGGTGAGGACGGCCCGTGAGAGCTGCCTCAGTAAACTGGTCCCTTTAAACGTGGTTCTCTCAGATCTGATTGTGCACAGCACATTCTTGGCATGTGAAGTGTCTTGGAAGTGCACCGCTCCCCCCATGCTCAATGTGCAGCCCCGGGGACAAAGATGAGAGCTGGCACTTGGCAGTTGGCTGTACCTCTTGCTCGAAGCACCGTGTCTCTGTGAGCTTGGACGAGAAAGGAGCAGACCCAGGGACTCGTTGCTGAGTGCTGTTGTTATGAAGTTGCCTTTCGGCTGCTTGCCCCTGCCCTCTCTGCAGATGTGGTCCACAGCCGAGCATCTGCGCTACCATGTCAGGTGCTTTTCAAAATACGAGCGTCGGGGGAGGGGTACACTCTCAGAAATGGCATTAGTGAGCATCCCGCTAAGGGATGGGCTGAGGGATGGCGGGGACTCAAGCTGGTTCCCAGACAGTCCCTGTCACTGCAGCTCTGGGAACATATGTGAGTTTTCCTTGCAAAGGCTCGATTCTTCCCGCTCCCATGGAGATAGGGAAGAGGACTCTCTTGGAAGTTCAAACAGGGCCTCTCCAGCTGACGGTTTAGCTGTGGCAACACATTGTTATATGCGAGATGAATGCTTCATGGGAACCGGCCGTGGTTGCCTTTTGAGAGACTGCAGATTGGGCTGTGCACACAAGGCCCTGCATCTCCACACTGCCCTTGGAGGCAGTGAGGTTGTACAAAGGCAGGAAATAGACCACAGTGCTGGGCTCCACCTGAGGGTGGTAGTTTCTTGTTAGCCTGGTAGGAGTATGAGGTACTGTTTTCGGGGTAATTGCTTACTTAAGCACAGTTGTTCCCCCCACGCCCCAATCCTCCCCACCCCCCACCTCCGGCTTCTTCCCACAAGGGACTTGCATTGCAGCTTTGACTCATGGTTCAACTTGGATGTGAGCTTCCTACAGCCAGGTCCAATCTCTGTTCCTCAGGCTGACCATTTCCCTCCCTCCCTCCTGCCTCGGGGTCTCCCAGTAGTGGTGGTGAGTGTTCACAGATAATCTTGGGCAGATTAAGCACTCTCCACACCAGGCATCTGGTTGGACTCCCTACCTTCGTCATTTTGTATAAATGCAGAGAGCCCAAGGCGGGTCAGAGGGTGGGTTCTCTGCGCTGGAAGATCTAGGGTAGCCTATCTGCCTCAGTTCCTTGTATAGAGAAACCATAGCTTCTGCCTGAGTTATATGGGAATTCTGTCATGACCCCCGCTGCAGGTCAGATTCCTTGAGGGCAGATGCATTAGTTTGCTCTAGTTTTGTGACAAAGGACCATGACAGCGTGGGCCCTGGACAGCAGGCTCCTTTTGTCCCTTTCTTTCCACCTGGGATGGGATCATTCTTTCTAATTGGAACACCGGTATCATCAGGTCAAGGCCACCTTGACAGACTCATTATAATAGAATCACTGTTAGACACTCTACTCCAGATCTATCCAAGTTTGGAGGTCCTGGATTAGGACTTCAATTTATGAACTTTGGGGGAGGGGCTGACACAATTCAGCCCCCCAGATCAGGGAGTAGGTCTCACTTGTCATCCTCTGAACATAGCACCTGGAGCTCAGAGCCATCTGGTGGGAGAGACAAGGTGGACGTAAACAGGCAGCTACA